AATTAAATTTATTTTAAAACATTAACAAAATCGCTCTCACTTCCCTTCCAAGAAGTACATAACAGACTTCCCTTAGCCTCTTTTTAATGCGACAAAAGAGACAAAGAAACAAAATTAGTTAGTTAGCCCCAGTCCCATGACAGATTCATGGGACAGTCACCACCAGGACTTCAGAGCCTCCTGATTGCCAGTGCATCTCTCCCTCCCCAGCCCATCTAGGCCTTCTGGCTGTGACAAAACTAGCAGCTGCTTGCAAAAAACAAGCTGAAGGAAAGAGATAACAGCACCTGAATGCTACATAAACATCAGGATTGTGGTAGCTCTCTCTAATAATATAAACCAATTATGTTCTTCTGGCTCTGGTTTCCATCTTAAAAAGGATTAGTCATAGGGTTATGCAGAATAAGGGAATTAGCCTTTCACCTCTGAAAAATGGAAGTTCAAATATTAGTTGAGGTCATGAATGAAAATCAGTTTCTTCCACTCCAGCTTGTGGTTATATATTAGGGAAGCACAACACAAATTGGCAGAACAGTCCCAGGAGAGGAATAGCAACAGCAGTTTGTGGTATACACAGAGGGTGTGCGTGTACATATATTGTATACAAAGTCCATATATATATATATAACCACTTACACTAAAGAATGGGAAAGGTGGAATAGGAGAGCATGTTTAAAGACAGGATGGCTTTGAAATGTTTGGAAATTTGACACTGAGTCCTAATCAAGAGATCTGACGTGGAGCTTTAGTCCTGCGATAACCCTTGGAATAATCTTCCCCAAGCAATCCTCCCCTTTAATCACCTCACACTGCATTACCTAGTCTAAGCTAGTCCTCAAAGCTCCTCTTCAGTTTCAGCAGAAAGACATGCACAAGGTTATCTATTCCACCTGCTTCCCACACCCATCCAATGACTACCAGACAATAAATGTTCACAATCCTTGGGAAGATGATCTCGATTTCTCTCTCTCTCTTAGGTTGAGGTCTCTCCCTTAGGTTGTACTCAACCTAAATCCCTTCCCACTCCACATCTCTGTTTTGTCCAATCTATTGATTAAAGTTTCAAAAATGGGTGACTCTTTTCACTGAAAATTCACAGCAAAAGGATCTTCTTATGTGCCATGGAAATTCAGTGTGACAAAAACAACAACAAATTATTGGGATTGGGATGGCAGATCTCATTTTATGGGCAATTTCCAGCAGGTAAAAAGGGGTTGGAAAATTACGGACAACAAAATAAAATTCCTCTAACTAAAGCTTTTATTTCTACATTAAAAGTATTAACATCTCACGGAAAAGAAGAAACCCAGACCAGAAAGTGTTGATAAGTGAATCTTCTGCTCCTACAGAAAGATCCTTCTTGATCAGAGAGGATACACCCTTTAGTACAGGCTCATGACAGCAGTGGACAAGAACACAGACTTTCATTTAAACAGTGGGCTCAAGTTGACTTAAAATATAGACTTGTATTAAAAAAACCCAAATTGTATAGAAATGGAAGAGGTATAAAAGGGAGAAGACTCCAGCCCCTACCATGGTGTACACAGTGAGAACAGTCAACTCAAACTGAGATCGTTAAAAGTAGGAACACTATATGGAAACTGCATTTTAGCTGTAAGTGTCCCTTGGTTTTGCAGAAATGTGTGCTGAAATAACAAACATAGAGGAGATATAACTTTTTCTTCTGTGGAATACCTGAAATTCAAGAGATTTTGCCAAAGGGATTCTCTGTCCTGAAATTTCATTTGTGCTCCTGAAAAGTTTTGACTTCTGTGACCAAGTACAGATTCAGAAAGTCAAATCAACAAATCACAGAGAACAAAGTGCTTGAATGCATCTCCAGAAAGCAGTCATTTGTCTTCAGAATGAACAGGGGAAAAAAATTAAAAAAATAATAAGACAAACAAGAGAGTTTAGCCTCAGGCAGCAGAGCAATGCAGGGAATATTTGATTGCTCCACCATTCGGGCAATTCCTGGTCTTACCCTGCAAAACAAATAGAGCTTGCCTTTAGAAAACTGTAGATTGCTTTCAAAAAGAAACACAAGACATGGCTAATTTTCCTAGACATAGAAGAAAATTTTCCCAAAATTAAAAATATAAAGGTCTTAACAATCCAAATGTGAAGAATATATGTCTTCGAGATGGAGAGCTTTCTGCAACAATGAGTTATTTTATAACAACTGCAACAATCAATAGGATTTAAATACCCATTTCACTTTCAAAGAGAATTTGGTTAATTGGAAATAAGGCTACTAAATGCTGAGTAAGATCATCCACAGATTGTATAATGCATTTTAATCAATCATTTTACAAAGCAAATAAGATTAACATTTATAATTTATCCTTTGACAGACAACACTAAATAATAATTCCAATCTATGTTACTGATACTAATGAAGAGAGTGGAAATTCAGAGCAGATAAAGAACATGCTCTTTACAGGTTGCTGAGGCAGGAAAGGTACCAGTTTTATTCCTACCTGCCTGTTTTTCTACTGTCAGATGCCAGTGCATCCACAGAAGTCAGAGTCTTGTTCCAAAGCCAGAATGCTCACTATGTTTCACATTTTGTGGCAGGCTCATACTTCAGGCCAAGCTCAGGCCATAGCTTTCTAATTTTTCTCTAAATCACTTGGTACACTTTTGGGAGTTATTAAATGAAGTGAGCAATGATACATAACAATTGTGTGTGACAGGGAGAAATACATGGTTCCTCTTGTGGGGACAAACTGCAAACCTGGATAATGCCAGGAGCAAAGCCTACCTTGAAAAGCCACATTTATGCTCAGAGGCAGTTTAAGCTTTCGACAAACAGTTAAAGATAAATCCTGTAGTAATGACAGACAACAAAATGGTACAGCTCTCCTGAAAGCACTTACACAGATCCTGGAAAGATGCCCAGAAAGAGCTTCAGGCATGAAAATAAATGATAATGTGTGTAAGTTTCCCATAACAAGTCCATAAGTCTAGAGTAGTACATAGATAATGGGCAGAGAGAATAACAACTTTCTGAAAGGGGAAATTGGAACAGAGGCAGATAAAGGGAAACACTGTAACACAAAAGTTATTCTTAAACTATTCTTAAAGATTCATTAGGGGAAAATCCTCCTTTGCACTGATGAATACAGAAAACAGGCATTTCCTTGGATCAGCTACCTTTTCAACTTCTGGAGAAAGAAAAAGGAAAATCAAGTGAACTCTCGCTGCTATCAAGAATGAGCCTGTCCTGTCAAGTTGCAGTAATTAGTTTCCTATATCAGAACTGCAAAATAACTATTTAGGAGTCACAATTCTCAGAAGAAGGTTCTTTTTTGGTCCAAGCCATGAAGCTGTGATAACTCCAGCTGTAGTTTGAAAAGGACCATGTTGCCTTACATATTGCCTACGTTAAACAGAAAGCATCTGAAGTAGGGTTGTTTTCTTTTTTTTAAATCAGTGTAAATAAGACTGGCACAAAAATCCACATGCACGATTCTGTGTTCACTCCAACCAGGACTACTTCAGCTTATCTAAAATTGACTAGGATTTTAAACTGAACTATAAACTATTTCTTAAAAAAAAAAAAAAAAGCCCACAAAGTAATCTTTGGCATTTTGACAACACCTGTGCACGTTACGCCTCAAAGAAGCAAGGAGCCACAATAAGTTATTTACCGTTAGAAAAGACAGGAACTTGTCCTGTTTTTTCAAACTAACGCCAGAAGGCAGGTTACCTCAGGATCTAATTCTTGAAAACCTGAGGGGCATACCTTCCTCTGAAAGCAGGACAACAACACAGCGTGACCTGGATGGCCTGAAAACAATGCGAAGTAGGGCACGAAACCCTCCCGAGTTACGTGTGCTGCGAGCAGCGCTAATTGCGGGTCCCGGCGGTGCGAGCGCGGTGTCCCAGTGCCCGCGGCACGGGGCGGCACAGTGCCACGCCGCCAGCCGGGCACAGCGACAGGCGGGCCCTGCCGTGCCCTCCCCTGCCGCACGCCTCTCGCTTGTTTACTTCATGCAAATGAGCGTATGGCAGCTGTCACTTTGAGGGGCCAAAAGGAAATTATATGTTTCAAGCGTAATTGCAGAGCGCAGCCCGCCGGTGCCCTTCTGTCGGCCCTGCAGCTTGGAGGGAAAATCGCGCCGAGCGCGCCCGGATTCCGAAGCCGACAAGGGCGCGGGCACGTCCCGTCCATGGCGCTCGCAGCTATCGCCCCGACTGAGGGCGCTGCCCTCGGTCTCGACCCGACCGCTGTGTTCAAACGCGAGGCACAAGGCCACGGCGAAGGCAGGGTACGACCCCTTCAGATCTGCCGCCAGACCGACGGCAGCAATGTGCCAGGAACACTCGTCTGGGCGCACCGTGTGCCTGGCGGCGACAGCGGCGGGGGGAGCGCCGGCCTTGCACTGCCGGGAACACCGCGGTCCGAGCCGCAGGGCAGGGAAAACCAACTCCCCAGAACCAAATAACAAACAAGCCCCAAACAAGCGCTCTCCCGGCGGCGGATGGCGGATGTCCGCGGCTAAGCCCTGGGGCAGGAGCAGCGTTTGGGACAGCGGCTTCTCTGCCGCCCTCGCCTGTCCCCGCGGCTCTCCGGCCACGCAAGCTGTCACCGGGGATGGCCGAGCGCGGCTGCTTCTGCTACCCGCGGATGCCGCTTCTGCTACCCGCGGATGCTGCCCCCGCCCCGGCAGCCCCCGCCGCTCCCGCTCCCGCTCCGCGCCGCCGCTCCGGCCGGGCCGCCGGCCCCCCTGCCGCCGCTCCCGCCGGCCCCCCCGCCGCCGCCGCCGCCGCCGCCTCCCTCCCTCCCTCCCTCCCCTGGCAGGCGGGGCTGGGCCCGCCCCCGGGCTTCCCCCACGGCCCTCGAAAGGGGAGGGGGCTCTGGCACCGCCCATGCCCGCCCCTGCCGGCGGAGCAGCGCCCGGCGCGCCCCTTAAAGCCGTTCCCGCCCGCCCGCGCGGGCAGTCCGCGGGGCCGCCGCCGGTGACCGCGGGGAGGCGCCGGACGGGGTGGCCGCGATGCTGGAGAACGGCTCCCTGAGGAACTGCTGTGACCCGGGCGGGCGCGGCCGCCTGGGCTTGGCGGAGCGGGAGGCGGCGGCGGCGGGCGCCCCGCGGCCCGCCTGGGTGGTGCCGGTGCTGTCCAGCGTGCTGATCTTCACCACCGTGGTGGACATCCTGGGCAACCTCCTGGTCATCCTCTCCGTCTTCAAGAACCGCAAGCTTCGGAACTCAGGTAAGGGCTTGACCCCCGCGCCCTGCCCCGGCCGTGGCAGGGAGCAGCGAGCGCCCGGAGTCCCGCCGCTATCCTGGTCCTCGCTTCCAGCTGTCCTGAGGAGTCCAGCCCGCTTGCCGAGTCCGTGCGGGCCGCCCGCTGAAGGCGGGGAGGTAGAGCCCCCATCCGTGGGTTCTTGCCCTGTAGTGTGCGCAGGGACCCCCAGGCGCTCGGTCGCCCTTCCCAGCGCGCCGCCTCTGCGCTCCCCTCGGGCTCCGTGCTGCCCTCCGTCCGGGAACGCAGGTCCTTCAGTGGTTCCTAATGAGGCGTTATGTGGTCTCTATGGAGCTCCCGAGGAGGGGAATCGGTGCCATTCGGCGACAAAAAGCGTGCCCAAAGCTGTCGGAGGAGTGAAGGAGGAGCTTTTAAAACTTGCTCAAGTGTCCTAAAGATACGGTGCTGTGCATGCGTGGGGAAGCGGCTCAGCCCGCTCTCTGGAGCCCTCATCAGAGTTCACGGTAGTCTTCACGAAATCGCCTTCTTGTCTCCTCATCGCACATCCTTCAACCAGAACGCAACAAATAAAGTCCGGTGTTGTCTTTGAATCGTGTCTACACTTTCTCCTTGTGTGTGCTAGAATGTTGCTCTGCGGTTTTTACTTGCTAAACGTACTGGTTTTATCTCCTCACCTCTGCCGGGCCGGTTACAACGTGTTTCAAACTAGAAAACTCTGTAGCTTCTAACCAACTTCTCTGATTTGCCTCCTGGCCCTGATTCGAGCACGTCCCGCGGCGTGCGGATCCTGCAGCCCCTCCGGCTCCCCTTCGATGGAGCCGATTGTTCCCTGATGCGCCAAGCTGGGCACACCCGCGCTCAGCTGGATGCTGGGTGTCGGTGCAGTATAGAGTCCTATCCCCGAAATTGTGGTGTATCTACTATAGTTCTTGTAGTACTGAGCTGTTCCCGGAACTCCTCGTTCCTTCGGGACTCAAGTTCCCTCGTTTTCCATGCGCACGCAGCTCGGGATAACCAAACTTTGCTGGGAGCTGGCAGGAGTCCGGAGCGCTACGCTCCCCGCGCTCGGAGCCAGAGGGCTCTGCCATCGGTCCTCTGTGTCAGGGGTGCTCCCCTGCACCGGGAAGGAGGGAGACCTGCTGCCTTGTTTCTCCTGGGGGTGCTGGGGGTGTTGGTTTGGGGTGTTTTTAAGCAGCGTCGCTTCCCAAGCGCTGTCGTGTCTCACGTGCGGTGACCAGAGCTCCTGCTAACGGGGAGCAGGCGCTCCTTGCTCTTGCTCTAAGTTAAATCCGACTCAGGGGCAAAAGCAGTTTATGGAGGGGTAACTCTTGCGCTCCCCAATCGCTGCACGTCTCGCTGCAGGCGGGAGATGCCGGCAAGACCCATTTACACCCGGATAAGAGACCACACTCCCCGAGCAGCACTGAACACGACAGCGTCTGCAAGGGTGATTTGGCTGAGCGAGGGAAGGCATGGGGTGGCCGCTGCGAGTCCGTGCGCTTGTGCTTGGGCTGTCCGTCCCGGGGGAGCAAAGCGGGACGAGCAGAGCCGTGCCGAGCCCGGCAGCGCCGCACGCCGCGGAGCCGCAGCCCTGCGTGCCCCGAGCGGGACCGCGGCCGCCGAGCAGCGCTGGCGCTGCCCCGGGACAGCGGAGCGGGGCTGGGCTGGGCTGGGATGGGATGGGACGGGATGGGACGGGACGGGAAGGGCTGGGAGCCGCGGCGGGCACGGAGTCCCGCGGGACCCGCCGTGACTCACCGGCGCTCTCCCGGCCCCCTCGGCGGCAGGGGAAGGCGAGTTCCCGAGGGATTCGCGCCTGGACTCCGGGGGCAGGGAGCGTCCAGGGAACAGGGCTCTCGCTGGAGGGGGCGGCCGGCCCGAGGCACCAAATCCCATCCAGGGGCGGGAAGAGACGGAGTCTCTTCTGAAAGGTGCTCTTCACCCAAACAACAGCACAGGGAAGTTTGGACTTGAAGAGAGTGGTGCCTGGAAGAATAAGTTCCAAGATGCTGATCAAAGTACTCTGTGGCACCCTGGGACTGTTGGGGAAAAAACCCAACCCCCCCCGCCCCCCCCCCCCAGAAAAAAACAACAAAAACAAACAAACAAAAAAACAAAACAAAAACAACACCACAGAACAAAAAATCCCTCAAACGTAGTCTTCCTACCTAGTTCAAATACCTGCTAATTGATCTCCTTCTAGGATAATCCTTAATGTGATGTCACTGACCCTGTCCCAAAGATCTCTTTATCCTTGATAAGTACTGTGAAAAACAGCGGGCAATTCTTTCTGCATAATCTTCATAAGGTTAAATACCTTTTAAATTGGCAGTTCTTGGTTTTACATCAGGGGGACATGACTCTTGGAGGTGTAACTGAAAGGGCATAGTTTGGTAAATGTCCTTTTCAGGAAAAATTTCTTAGGGAGGAAGCAGAGTGGAAGAGGACTGGAAAGTGATGTGGGTGGAGTGATAGAGGGAATGGGAAAGGAACCCTTAGCCTCTGACAAAGAAAGGTGGAAAAGCAGGTGGACTTGCAGGTTTCTATTCTGAACAAACAAGAAACGATGTGTTTGTACCTGCAAGGGAAGTGAATGCAGTAGAAAGGGAAATGGTGAGGAAGAACAGCATGAAAGGAGTTTTGGACCTTGTCAGAGAAGAAAAAGGTGAAGTTAGGGGAATGGTTATGACAGGAAGACATCTAGATGATCGAAGGAAAAAGGAAGAGCTATACATCATGAGCACTCAGTTCCCTTTGAAGAAGTTAGTGAGAGATTTTTCTTGGATGAGAGTTTGGGACTTCAAATAAGTCACAGGTGTATAAGGAATAAATTAACCAGCTCTGCCTACTTCTGTGGCACAAGAAGTAATCATACCTTCAGAAAGCAATACAGGTCTAGCAGTTTTTCCAGGATTTATCAACACTATTCTGTTTGAGACTTCACAGAGAGATCTGATAACAGGAAACAATGTAATTATGCATCACTGTCCTAGAAATTAAAGCATGACCAAAAGTAAATCTATTCTAATGCTGTTATATAATGGGAGATGCAAGAATGGAGTGAAATAAAATGACCTATTAGCCACTGGGCTTGTACCCTATTATGTTCAGCAGGAGAGAAATAAAGACTAGATAGGATTGGTGTTTCCGGACATTGCTCATTCACTCCTCAAACATGGGAATTTTGACAGCCTTACAACAGAATGATTGTTTCAGATCACACAGGAGCCTCTTTCCACATTTAAATTTGGTTTTGGGGAAAATCTGTGAAGACTTTTCCAAGTAATGCATAGCATAATTGGTATGAATCAACATGCTTGTCTTACATAACTGCACCCAGTCTTTCTGTGAGAGGCTGAGCAACTTCTGATCTCTAAAAGTGATTTAATTTAGAGAAATTAATGCTTTTATCAGTTCTAATTTGGGAAGAGAGCAATTTCATCTAACACACTACAAAATTAAATAAAACTTCGTATGTGGAAATAATAAAATTAAATCAGCTTGCCTTTCTATTTGAAATGTCAAATGTGTTCTGAATTTTCAGAAACAATTATTGATTTTGTGTGCCTGCAATTAAACATGCTCGGTTGACGGCAGCTTTTATATTGCTGAACTTTTGAAGTGTTAAAGTTTACATGAGCTCAACAACCACTGCTGGATGATCAAGTATCCGGAAAGTGCATCAAGTAAATCAAAGCCACTAGATGCTTTTAAGAACCTTAAAGATACTTTTGTATAGCTGTAGTGATAAATGTAACATTATGGGCTGGGGTAAGAACCTGGTAGGAAGCACTCTAGAAAGTGGGAACCAGCAAGGCATCTCCCAGAGGAGAGAGATAAAGCAAACCATTTATACTTCATTGGTCCTAAAGCCAGCATAAAATCAGTGAGAAGTGAGAATTAGGCACATTAACTCAATATCATTTCAAATAGTAATGAGGAATTGGGACCCTTTGACTTTTGGCAGAATATTAATACTAACCTTGGTGCATTGCCAAAGAATGCATTAGTGTAAAGTGGTATTTTTAGTGCATTTTGTCAGCCCTCCTCACCCTCTCCACTATTTTCCTTTCTATATATACCAGCTAACACAGCACAGTGAGACTCTCATTTCCATTTGAATAGCAAGGTGCTGTTGCAACACAAATTAAATCAAAATGCATGTTTCTTTTACCTGTAAGAGCATCGGTGTTTTCACATGTTTAGTTCTGTCTAATGTGTATGTGGCTCTAGAGATGGACAATGCTTCTCATATGGTCATCTGTACAAAATAAACAATCCTGCATGTAGGATTGTAATATTGGTACTTATCCATCTACTAAATAAACTTGTTCAGCAATATAAGCAAGTCTTGTAGCATTTTTCCATGCTCTTTCCATAGCCTTCACTCCACATTTCTGTGATACAGCTGAAGGTAAGTTATCCCCATCGTTAAATGCTGTTTTCAGTTATTCTTCATCTCTTTGACCACACCAGTTCTCTTTCCCTCCTTTATTCCTCTACTATTATTTTTCCTGTCCACTGGAATACAAGTAGTTGTTTCCTGTGATGGAATCCATCTCTTACAAAACAACAGTGGAGAAACCTATTCCTGAAACCACTTGGAAAAATTGTCCTTTAATACCAGCAGTGACGCTGACAAGAACATATTTTGATGAGCAGATCATGAGATCCCACTCTGATGGTTTCAGCTTTTGTACCCCTTACTTCTTGAACCCTGGATCCACAGAATCATTAGCCCTTGGACTGCATGTGTTTGGCTTTCATATTCTCCCTCACATTCTCCTTAAAGGTGCTCAATGCTAAGAAATTGATGGAAACATAGCTTCAATATTCACAAAAGTTCATTGAACCCAACACTTAGAATAAAGGTTTTCTATCTCTTACCATGATTCAAACTCATTTTTACTTTCTTTTAACTTTGTGATTATTAGTTGCTTACTTAGAGGGGATATCTTTATTTGTAGAATTACAATTGTCATTTAATTTGAATGGATTGTTTCTCC